GCAGTGGGGCCAGGACATTAGAAGCCCTCCCACTATTGACACCCCCCCCAAGCACCAAAAATACAGAGCATCCCTTGCCCCAGACCGAGAGTTCCTATCTATCCCGTGTGGCTGATAGCCACTTATGGACATCTGCTCCATATACCTATCTAATTCCTGCTTGAAGCTGTCCATGCTTGTAGCCGCCACCACCTCCTGTGGCAGTGAATTCCATGTGTTAATCACTTTTTTTTAAGGGCACACAGGACACAGCAGACACAACAAACTCCACATGGGAGCTACATAAAAACGTAAGAGAAGCCAATGCTGGATCAGGCCAGTGGCCCATCTAGTCCAACACTCTGTGTCACACAGTGGCCAAAAAGACCAGGAGCCCTCAGGAGGCCCAGCAGTGGGGCCAGGACACTAGAAGCCCCTCTCCACTGTTGCCCCCCCCAGCACCAAGAATACAGAGCATCACTTGCCCCAGACTGAGAGTTCCTGTCTATAAGCCCTCCCACTGTTGACCCCACCCAGGCACCAAGAATACAGAGCATCACTTGCCCCAGACGTAAGAACATAAGAGAAGCCAATGTTGGATCAGGCCAATGGCCCATCCAGTTCTGTCTGTCACGCTCTGTCACACAGTGGCCAAAAATACCAAGGGCCATCAGGAGGTCCAGCAGTGGGGCCAGGACACTAGAAGCCCTCCTACTGTTGCCCCCCCCAGACACCAAGAATACAGAGCGTTCCCTACGCGTTCCAGGCGACGACTCCATCCACACAGGAATCCATTTCCTTTCCGAGCTGAACGCTAGTTCCTGCTCTAAAATTCAACAATACTATGCTTACCTGCAGTTGGACCCATTAGGGAAATGTGGAAGTTTTCACTGACATATTCAAATCTGGGGTTCTGTCACGCATCGTGTTGTTTTAAGACAAGAATGCCTCGTTTGTTAACAGCTCAAGTTTCTGATCCTCATGTAAATATCTAACCGTTTCCCCAAAAAGTTTATCAAAACAGATAGAGAAGCCTTTGGCAGCTTACTACACATGATTATTTACTAATTTTATAACATTTATATAAAACACTTTACCAGTTTGGGACTGCTTGTATTCCTGGGCAGCCCGGTTCCCATTTTACAGACTGGCACTACGTGTGCCCAGAGCTTCAATTTAAACTATAGCCTAGAGACATATCCATGTCCAACCCCACGGAGACAGGACAGCTAGCACAAATTCAGGAACCGAACTGCTTGGACCGACAAAAAGCTCTTGAACGGGTTGTAACGATTTCAAGTTATAAGTGTGTGTTCCTGTAAATGGTTGGTAAGTGTCAGAAGAAGGGCCGCGGTGGCTCAGAGGTTAGAATGCTGAGCTGGTGACTGGAAGGTTGGTAGTTCGAGACCCGAGTGACAGAGTGAGCTCCTGTCTCTGGCCCCAGCTCCTGCCAACCGAGCAGTTCGAAAGCAAGAAACTGCAGGTAGATAAATAGCTGCTGCTTCGGCGGGAAGGTAACAGTGTTCCGTGCGCCTTGGTGTCTAGTCATGCTGGCCACATGACCACAGAGAAGTCTTCGGACAGCGCTGGCTCTTCGGTTTGGAAACGGAGATGAGCACCGCCCCCTAGAGTTGGATCCGACTGGCTTTCGAGCAAGGGAAACCTTTACCTTTACCTTAAGTGTCAGAAGAACATGGGGGGGTGAAAGAGGGGGATGAGTGAGTGGGGTTATTGGATGGTGACTGAGTGTGTGGGCGGAGCTATGAAGGGGGTGTGGAGAGAGGGAAGGCAGAGTGTTGTGTCAGCAGGTGTCAGTTGTGGTCACTCTACACAGAGCCTGAGAAGCAGTCTTCTAATGAGAATCCCATAGAAGCGCTGTGAAAGGCATTAAGATTCTAAAGGAGAAAGTAAAACACTTCAGGGGAGCATAGTAAGCAAAATCTAATATTGCCAGAGTATTACAAGAGTGTGAGGGGGGGAAGGTGACAGAGACCGGAGTTTAAAAAGGGAAAGTTTTTACTGAGCAACACAGCACCGCAAAGATTGGAGAAGGTATATTCACGGAAGAGACAAGTTAGAAAAACATCTTGTAACCCAAAGGTGTCGAACTCATTTGTTACGAGGGCCAGATCTGACATGTGTGCGCCATAAAACGTAATGCCAGCCTCAAAGATCTCAAAAATCTCCAGCTATTAGCCACAAGGAATCGATAGGAACTCTCGGTCTGGGGCAAGGGATGCGCCGTCTTCTTGGTGTTGGGGGGGGGGAGCAACAGTGGGAGGGCTCCTAGTGTCCTGGCCCCACTGCTGGACCTCCTGATGGCCCCTGGTGTTTTCAGGCCCTGTGTGACTCAGAGTGTTGGACTGGATGGGCCACTGGCCTGATCCAGCATCGGCTTCTCTTATGTTCTTATAAAAGACAGCAGCTAGCAAGCTGTGCGCTGGTGCGTCCTCCCTCACTGCAAGGCCCCATGGGCTGGGAGGGGGTTGCAGTGGAAGACCCACCTAGGCGGACTGGAGAGGCAGCAGTGCAGTGCTGGGCAGATACTCCCACGATGCTTGACTGCTGCAGACGAGGTGGTTCTGCCGTGCCGAAGCCACGATGGACTGGCTGTGCCTACTCCCCCCCCCCCCAGCACTCGCAGTTAATGTAACCAATATGCTTCTCCTGCAAATAAAGTTTTATCTTGTTTATTGTTAAGCCCAGAGTCAAATGCTGTTTAAAGTATAAGAGTCTCATCCGCAGAACCACACAGCCCAATGAAGGAGCCTTAGAGCTTGGCCGCAATACTGTGGGCGAGGTTAATTATTAAGACTGGAATTAAATTCCTGGTGCCAGCGTTACATGCCTTGAGCGAGAGAAAGAAACAGCAAGAAACTTAAAACCGCATCTTACCTAACCACACAAAAGAGAGAGAAAGGTAGCATGACGCAGGTATGTACCCTCCGGCAGGCCGTCCTTCCCCAATTCCCCATTTTCCCATGAAATAAAGCAGGACAACGACACAAACACACCAAAGCTGGCCTACCTTTGAAGTGGAGCACATTGTCTGTAATTCTGATGTCTGGATCCTACAGAGAAGAAAAACAGGTTGAGAGCCAGCATGAGGTAGCGTGTCGAACTGAGATCCAGGTTCGAATCCCTGCTCTGCCACTGAAGCTCGGTGGGTGACCTCGGGCCAGTCACACGCTCTTGGCCTTAACCTACCCCACAGGGTGATTTTGTGGATAAAATGGAAAAGAGGAGGGAGGACGTTGTCAGCTGCTTCGGGGCCCCCACTGGGGAGAAAATGAGGGTCCAACCATATCTCCATGAGTCAATCAGGTAGTATGACCAGGAGCCACTCAGTTTGGTACTTTTACCAGCTTTGCTTGAATTCAAAATGCCAAAAGAATGTGTGAGAAAAGCGGATTTCGGCCGCGTCCAGACCTGTTCCCTCTGGTTTCCTGCAGGTGGCCTGACGTCAGGGTTACCAGTTCCTAGCTGGGATTATTAGGAAGGCCATTGAAAACAAATCAGCCAGTATCATAATGCCCCAGTATAAATCGATGGTACGTCCTCATTTGGAGTACTGTGTACAGTTTTGGTCACCACACCTCAAAAAGGTTATTGTAGGATTGGAAAAAGTGCAGAAAAGGGCAACTTGAATGATAAAAGGGTTGGAACACTTTCCCTATGAAGAAAGGTTAAAGCGCTTGGGGCTCTTTAGCTTGGAGAAACGACGGCTGAGGGGTGACATGATTGAGGTTTATACGATTATGTATGGGACACAGCAGGTCAAGAAAGAAGAACTCGTGGGCACTCCATGAAATTGCTGAGCGGTCGGGTTAGAACAGATAAAAGGAAGTCCTTCTTCACCCAAAGAGTGATTAACACATGGATTCACTGCCACAGGAGGTGGTGGCAGCTACAAGCAGGGACAGCTTCAAGTGGGAACTGGATACACATATGGAGCAGAGGTCCATCAGTGGCTGTCAGCCACAAGGTATAGATAGGAACTCACAGCCTGGGGCAGGTGATGCTCTGTATTGGTGCTGGGGGGGGGGAGGAACAGTGGGGGGGGCAGGAACAGTGAGAGGGCTTCTAGTGCCCCACTGATGGACCTCTGGAGGGAACCTGGTATTTTTGGCCCCTGCATGACGGTGACAGAGTGTTGGACTGGATGGGCCACTGGCCTGATCCAACACTGGCTTCTCTTCTGTTCTTACAGGAACTCTCCGTCTGGGGCAAGGGATGCTCTGTCTTCTTGGTGCCTGGTGTGCGTGGGGGGGGGGGCTGCAACAGTGGAGAGGGGCTTCTAATGTCCTGGCCCCACTGGTGGACCTCCGGAGGGAACCTGGTATTTTTGGCCCCTGCGTGACAGAGTGTTGGACTAGATAGGCCATTGGCCTGATCCAACATTGGCTTCTCTGATGTTGTTATGAAATCCCTGGCGATTTGGGGGTGGAGCCTGGGGAGGCGGAGGGGCCTCAGCAGGGCCTAATGCCACAGAGTCCGCCCTCCAAAGCAGTCCTTTCCTCCCGGGTAGGGGCTCTCTGGAGATCAGCTGTCATTCTGCTAGCTCTCCATCCCCCACCTGGAAGCTGGCGACCTGCCTTGCAATGGGGTGGCTGCGAAGGGAACTAGGACTGCCACCCGCCTCAGAGGAGCTTCAGGGGTCCAGGTGGGAGGGACACAACCCCAGCTCCCCTTTCCCTAAGCAAGGAGCCCTGGGGAATGGCTGCTGCGGAGGAGAGGGGCTGGGGGGAGAGGGGGGGCAGGCACAGCGTGCAGATTGGCCAGCAGGGGCCCGGCATGCCCCACTCCCCAGCCCTGTGCCAAGGGGCCGCCCCTGCCAACATGCCTGCAGGGGGGGTTGGGAGGGCAGTGTTCCCTCTAAGCTGAGTTAGTGTGACCTAGCTCACAGTTTTTTTTGCCTCCGGCTCACACATTTTCGTCTTAGCTCAGGAAGGAGGGCTCAAGAGCAAACTAACTTATGCAGCAGCCAAATCACTCACTCACAACTTTAATGCCAGCAGCTCACAAAGTAGAATTTTTGCTCACAAGACTCCACAGCTTAGAGGGAGCGTTGGTGGAGGGTGGGGAGAGCCAGGCCGGGCGG